TAATTTTATTTATTGGTTTTTTTCTTTTGAGCATTCATTAACTTGAATATTTCTTCTTGTTTTTCCGCTATTTTCTTATCTAATTCTGATATTTCTTCTTTAATAGTTTTTTTTTCCTTTCACTTCTTCTTCGCTACTTTGTATATTTTTCCTTGCCAATTCTATATTTTTTAATATCCTGAGTTACGGTCTAAACAATTCCAGATGTAATTTTTAAATTATTTTTTACTGCGTTTCTTCGTCCATTTTAATTGCTTATCGATTTCTTCTTTACTGCTGAGGTATGCAGCGCGCTCTATTCTTATTTAGACTTTAGGACATTTTTCCGGAAGGACAGAGTTCTCGGAAGGTCCTAATACAATCCTGGCATTAATGTGAATCTTTTCCGTGCTTGCAGGTCAGGCTAATATTATTGGATAACAACAGATTTATCCTATCATCCAATCTCGGTCTTGTTTCGTACTTTGGTTTATTGTGTCGAAATAGCGTGCGTTAGACTCTCGGCAAATCATCCCTTATACAGGTTTAGCTTTGGTTTAATAAAGTAGTTAGAGATCAATAAGAGACGTTCTTATTATTTCGCCTACCCTTTGTCCGGTGTCGGTGTTATTGTTTACATTCGATTCGAACGCGCCGGTAATCCAGCACTGATCGCGAAAGTATAGAAGGAGCTGTTCGTCAACCGAGTTGCCAGCAGTGGCCGACGGAGCGCTGGTAAGCAAGCGCATCAGCGCCCCTAGCGGAGAGTTCGCGCATCTAAGTTGGATCACTGAGAGAACTCGGCGCATGCGTACACCGGAGCGAGGTGAGTGAGTGTGTTTGAAGCACACAGCTAACAGAGCACCGTTTGGCCGTCGTGATAAGTATATTTACTAGGGATAAGCGGTTATACGGCAGCCTGTTACATGTAATAATTTTCTTTTTAATCTAATCTAAGTTATTTATTTCCTACTAAAAAAAGATATTTGTAAAAATTTACAGACTTAATTTTTTGAAAGCTTTAGTTAATTTTCTTATTTTCACATTTAAAATATTATTGGAAATTTTTTGGCGTGTAGCCAATCTCTTATTAATTTTTGTCTGTTTTATTATTGTTTTAATTTGTTTTTTATAAATGTTATTAGTTTTAATTAAATTTACGGAAATATTTCTTAAGCCAGCTATTTGTTCAATCCTACATTTATTTTCCGATTCGAGTTTCGCGATACGTGCATTAAGACAGTACTATTTATACTTGAAATATCGGAGCTGTGATTATTAACTCTATCAATTACGGATATTTGACTTTCTTTTAAATGCGAAATATCTTCAATTAGTTCATCTACCGTGTCGATTACTTCGTTAGGAAAATTATTAAAACTCACGAACGGTGGCATAATAAAAAAAAAAGACAATTGAGTTCATTCAGGAAAAAGGAAAAAATATTCAAATTATTTATTCGAACCTACTGATACTGATGCTACAGCTTTTATTTATAAAGGTAAACTTATTTTCTATTTTCTGAGTTGAGTCAATGATTTCTTCCCTCTTTCCAGAATATATGTATATTTTTAAATATTTTTTTGTCCCTCCTACTTTTTTCACTAACGCAATTCATAAAAAGGAAATCTCTATTTATATTCTTTTCTTAACATTTAACAAAAGAATATTCCTAAATTTTCAATGGTGATTCCTCCGGGGCCTCCAAAAATTTTATGTGACTTCGTGGCAACGACACATCTCAGGTGCAACTGAGGCTTGGCGCAGTCTCAAGGTTCCGCTATCACTAGAAGTGTGTTTTGTCGCCTAAACTAGCTGGAATCACTTATCGAAAATTACTTTAGCCGAGGGGAGATAGTGCCACTGTATCAATACTTCTGTCTTTGGATTCCAGTCAATTGTAGTAATCCAAAGAACAGAAGTACCCCGGATCCTATCGGTAGTAGTGCCCGATTTTTCTTATAAAATTAACATCTAGAGCCTATCTATAGTAGTCTCTAAATACAAAAAAAGGATATTTGAGTTACAAGCTATTCCTGAGATAATGGAGAGACAGATGAATTGAAAATGTTTGTTTCCTTACTGTCTTATTGAAATTTTACTTGTTTCTAGACACGCATGCTTTTATTCTATTCTGGTTAACTTCTTGCTTGACTTGCTCTGCTTGATTTCTTGCCAGTAGTACGAGAAAAATTCCTCCTTTTGGGTCTTGCACAGCCTCTTTTATACTCGGGGGCGAGTTCCTCTCTGTCTCTCGATTTCGGGAGAAATGTAGCAAGCAATGGCGTGCTAATTGGCTTGCTTGTCTCTTCCGATTTTCCCTCGCTTGGTTTTCGGGCCATGATTGGAGCGAAGGCGTGGGGAAAATCAGGGGCACGGACACCGAAGTACAGGCCTTGGCTCGCGAGATGGCTCGTCAAGTACCGTTCACGACTAATATTTGTTCAAAAATTTTATAACTGTTTAATAATTGAATGTTTAAGCAAACCTAATTAACCGTACATTACTTATATACTACTTAATACTAAGAACAATATTACAATTAAATCCGCTGTAAGGTACAGTTAATTATTAATTGTGTACTAATAAAAATAAGGTGACGCTTATTGTCTCGTACGCTGTGTTATGCAAATTTGTGGACAGTCTATTATCATTTCAAGAATTTTAAATTATTCGCTAATCACGCAGTTTCATTTATTCAAAATTTTAATCGGAAAACAAAAATTCTTATATGACATAACAGTCCGTTTACTAGCTAATTTTTCTTAATTTCTTATAGTAAAAGTTCGTCAAATAGCAGAGAATTTATTAAACTTAACGTATATTTTTTTCATTTTCTTTTATTTTCTGCCTAAACTAAGCTTCGGAGCGAGAACTCCGTAAGAGGTTTTGAGGGGTCAAAATTATTTAGGACACATTGCGAAAGTTAAATGTTTAAATTAAAAAAATATATTATTAATTCCAATGCTAAATTTACATCTTGAAAGAGGAAAATTCGTTGGTCAGAATCAGAACAGGATGTAGCCGCAGTTTTATGGCCCTCTCCTTTTATCGACATGTTGTCGCTCTCCGAACGCATATTAGGAGGCTGCATGCCCCTTGCATGCGAACGAGAGAACGCGTTGGGCGGAGGAACGCACTAAATAAAGAACATACTCCTACGCCAATGCTGAATACAGATTTTATTGCTGTTTGGAGACTATTAAGGAAAATTTTTATTGTGATGCTCAACTTGGTTCCCTTCGCTAGTGGGCAACGGTTCTCATTCCGTCCTTGGTTTTGCTATTAAATAAAAATCTCAACGCGATGATCAAAATCGTTTAACTTTAGTTTGTGAACTAAGTTCATTTTAAATAGATGAAAATTCGTTTCTTTTAATATTTTACTTGCAGATGATTCGTTTATGTTACGATCTGGAGCGACTCTGCGGATAGAAGAATGCGCATTTTCAGTAAATGAAAATAAAACATTCAGTCATTGCTCTTCACTCGTTGCTGATCTTGATCTACCAGACTTCGGTAGATCGCTAATACTGTCAACATTATTAAACTTTGTAATTGCATTTTGAACACCTGAGAGTGCAATTGGATTTCGACTAACTTTAAATGTTTTATTAAAAACATTTAAAGTTTAAGCTTTTTCATTTGACCGCAGCCTCTCATCTAAGAATTATTATTATTTCTCTTTCAGTGAGGCGTTGCATTTTATGTTAACGGATTAAATCTTCCTCAAAAATCAATCAGAATGAAAATTCACAATGGAGATAATCGTTTGAGAAATGATAGTTATAATTTGTTATATTTAAGTAAAATTTGTACCATAATTAAACTAGATTTTTGAAAGATAAAATACACATGTAAACTAGATTTTCGAAAGATAAAATAAATCAGAATTGAAAATTTGTATAAGTTTGAATTTATAAAGTTATTAGTTATATAGGTATTAGTTGATAAAGTATTAGTTTTTTTTTGTGAGAGTTAAAAGTTTAAGATTAATGAAATGCAAGATCATAACTTAGAGATTTATGTAATATGTTAATAATTACAATTAAAATCTAATCATTTCATGTAAATCAAGCGTCCTGATCGTGAAAGGCAAGGGGACTCACGTTAATCAAGTACCACAAATGAAACAGATTTTACAACGTCCACGTCGTTGTTTTTGGGTAACATTAAATTTAAAAAAATGACTTTATAATGATTGAGGATTCAAACTCAACACAGATTAGAGTTTATTCATAGCAAGTTTGAGTAAAATTTTCCACTCTATCAATTGTTGTCGTTAAAAAAATTGACCTTTGACAAGAGACATTCAAGATCTAACACGAGGAAAAATCCAAGGTTATCACTGGATATCGTTACTTCTTTAATATTTTCAACCCTAGCCAAAAAGTACAGATCGAAACCGGTCGGACCTTGAAATGACCTTGAAGGACAAGTTCAAGATCAAATCTAAAGTCTCCACTAGATTCCTCATAAAAAGTTACTTGAGTAATGGCCTTCACCTATTTTTTAAAAAGCTTATACCTGCAATATTTATTAGGTATATCATTACTTTTAGGTTATCCTATACATAAAACTTATAAACCTAACTTAACTATGTTGTAATTAACGTTCCCATGCTATAATAGCATCCGATCGATTTTTGTTACATAGTTGTCCACAATATATTATGTATAGGCTATAGTTGAGAAGGAAGTGAATAGTAGCAACGCATCATCACCAGCGTGTAATAAAAAACGCGAAAGAGTTGTACAATAAAAAGATACACATTTCATATATTCCTAAAAGAATACACATTTCATATATTCCTACCCAAAGTTTTCGGTAAGATTTTTTTAAATTTAATTTAACAGATTTTTGTCCAACATATCCAATGCGTGTATATATCAAATTTTTTTTCATCATTTCGACAAATCGAAAGATTAAATTTATTTTATTGTCATAATGAAAATATAAAAATATTGATTTCCTTTGAGTTATATTTCTTTTTAGTAAAAATTCTCTTTTTCTAATTATTAGAAAAATGAAGTTATATGAAGAGCAAGAGCTAACCATGCATGTATTCAGTGAGCCTGAATCTGGTTTAAGTGTTAACAGACGTGGAAGTAATCTGAGCCTTGTAATGGGTGATACATCGCATGATAACATGTATGCTACGATACAACAACCACTATCATCCAAAGCTTTTTCTTCTTCTACACCAGATTACACAACTCTTCCAGAACATGCTAACGTATGTATAAACTTTATTTGGTGAAAATATCACATTTATATAAATGAATAAAAATAAAAAGTTTTTAAAACAATTTTTCAGTTACATGATTCAACAATGGGCTTTCAAGGATCAACATTCCAACCATCCGCAATGTCTCAATTAACATTAGATAATGATGGACAACCTCAACTTGTTTCAGGCTTGGTCTAAATTGCTTTATAATGAAATTCACACAATTTGGAAATAGAAAACTTTTAAAATTGATGCGCAGAAAAAAATCATTTGAGACATAATTTAGAAGTATTATTAGACAGACGAGGTAAAATATTACCGATGCAGTTACCTATTCGGTGAAATAAGAAGATAAAATATGCTCAAATTTATAGACTATTAATATACTGTATGGCATAGTACCCGAACTTTATAATATACCTGTAATAAAATTGTAAATAACTAATTTAAATTTTATTCATTTTATTATATTAAAATTATAATAAATTAATTACTATGATAATATTTTTGATTCATCTTAATTTCAAATTTATTTTCTCATGTGAGTTCAATTAACCGCTTATCTCAATTTATTATAGGCAAATTGAGTAGAGAGTATTCTAGTTCAGTACCAGCTAAGTTTACGCACACGATTTTATAGTTTCAAAAACTAACTCAGTGGGGCTTTTAACGGTAGAAATCTTCCACTTTTCAAAACCTTATCACTATTCGCGATCGCAACGAAACGCAGATGGCGCTAGTGTTTACCAATATGGCCGACCTAAGGTGAAACTGTTTAAATTTTACCATGCAGTTAGATAGGTAGTTTCTCTTTAAAATTAGTTTATTTAAAAATGGAAAGGTCTACGTAATTCGTTATATCTCTAGATGATATTTTGAACCTTCTAGGGCAAACGAGAAGACCTTTGTCCGAAGGTGAAATGGTTTTAAATGCAAATCATGTGATTTTATGTGGTGTGTTGGAGCGAAGCAGTAGTGTAGTGCATATTCTTGGCTTAAGCTTACAAAGCTCTGGGATTCGTGAAAAGCCACACGAAATCAACATAAAAATTGATTTTGAAACTAGCAGTAATGTTGAAAACAAGTACACCTGTGTATGTAGCTGTGCTGCAGGTGCAGGTGGGAGATGTAAACATGTTTTTGCAACATTATTATTGGTCAACAGGTACGATTTTTGTTTTATTTTTTTGCTTGCTTGGGTAGAATTATTAGTTTTTCATTGTGATTCAGTTTGTTTAGATATTTTTATTTAATTTTAGACGTAGTCTAGACAACTTGAATGATTTGAGTTGTACCGATATCAAGCAAAGTTGGGGAAATTTGTCTGCTACAGCTTTAGAACAATATGATCATCCTATAAAAATTGTAGATTTATGTCATTACAATAATCCTTTCAAACTGGATAGAGATTATTCTCATTCGAATGACTTTTTTCTTGAAACTTTATTAAAAGGTTGGTTGATACATTATTCTATTGACTGTATGTCATACGTTGAATGCATGATAAACTTTGTTATTTTTGCTTGTAGGTAGTCCTAAAAGCGAAGCTGCTATTCATATATCCATGCAGCGTGATACTCAATGTCATAATCCAGTAGAAGATTTACTGTACAATGAGAGTTTCAATCATAGACTTATTCTAGTATTACACTTGCTTAAAAGACCATTGAAATTTAGTTTGCCAGTCCCAATTTTGTCTGATGAACGCTGTAAATCATTTTATGATTTACATATAAATTTGAATGAAACTGGTTCTTGTTTCATCTGTCTTAGAACTGTTTATCAGTGTGATGAGCTTTGGAAATCTAGTAGAAGGTTTAGAATTACTGGTAGCGTATGTTATGAATTGTTTACATACTGTACTAATAAGAAAGCCAATTGGGATTCTAAGATAGAGAGTGTGTTTTTTAGTAAATTCAAGGGATCTGACGATACAGATTATGGACACATTAGTGAGCCTAAAGCTAGAGATCTGTATCAGTCAACTTTTAAAAAGTATGTAGCTCAATTAGGTTTTTTTGTCATCCAGATGCTCTATGGCTGGGCACGAGCCCTGATGGAATTGTTTGTGAGGATGAATGTTTGCTTGAAATTAAAAGTCCAAAGTTTGGTAAAACTATGACCGCTTATGAAGCTTTCAAAAAGATGAGTTGTGTTGAATGTGATAAACAGACAGGTACATTAAGTTTTAAGAAAAAACATAAATTTTATGGACAAATCCAGTTTTTACTGTTTACTCCATAAGCAGCAGACAATATTTTCACCTTAGGCTACTTCGCCTAGCGACCACTTGGTGCTGCAGTCGTTTTTGCGATCGCGAATAAAATATCTGTCCATGATAAGCAGCACCGGAGTTGCTGCTCACAGCGCTACCATTTTTCGTAGATAATGCAATTTTCCAAGTCACTCGACAGAGACCTGTGCTCCTGAATATTTATAAAAACTAGAGATTAGGAGAGAGATTGCTAAAGATATGCTTTGCCTTGCGTTGAGTTTTGTTGTGGTGGACCTAGCGGCTATTGTTGGTAATATATCCATTTAGCTAAAGAGGAGAGGGCGGTAAATGGACAAGTCGATTTCAAGGAGTGAAGAGTGAGGAGATGGAAGAGCATGAACGATGAAATTAATGAGATAGTAGTTGTGACATTTTTGTATGACCCTTGCTTTTCGCTGCTCAATGAAAATTTGTTTTTAAATGAAAAATCACTTTCACAACTCAGATAAATATTTCGTTCCTTTAAATAAAATGTTTGAATAAAATAAATGATGAAAAATAATTTGTTTTTAATAAGTATACGTCTTGAGCTTAAACCCAAGCACAACACTTATAACCTTTACGCCTCTCACAACCAAACAAAAAATGCTATACACTTGAAACTTGGTACAGATGTTCGGGAAGAGTGTACCAATATAACAAAATAAAAAAATCGATAATCGAAAGTACGTTGCCCGTGAAATTTGAAAAGTCACCTTACTTTTTGAACACACCTCGTATATCGTAAGCTCTTCCTTCTTTAATAAATATATAGTCCGGGCTCCCAGAAATGAGGAAATAGACAAAGCTGTTGTTTTTACTTTTAAATTTTCCACGGTTTCCGTATACACCAGGATTACACAAAATATTTTCAGCCAAACTAAAAAATGTTGTGAAATTTGGGTGACACAAAAATTTTGAAAACGTCTTAGAAACATTCATAAATTTATTGATACCCAGATAAAACTGCGTTTTTATCTGCATTTTTAAATTCAATTTTCACTAAAAATCTAAACAGGTAATATTTTAATCGCTTGTAAAAAGTTTTCCAAATGTTTTTATATAGTTTAGTCGATTAACATATTATAAGTTTGAGTTCCTACGAATAAAACAAAAATATTGAAAGTGTTCTCAAAAGGTTTTCTGTTATTCAAATTTTATGTTTCGTGAATATTATAATTCAGACTTTCGATAATGTATTGTATTTTTTTATCCGAGGAGAGAATTCTAAAAAAGTACTAATGATAATGGAAGTGTTGAGTTGACCCGAGGGTCGAACAACCAAAATCCATCTCTTCGATTACACAGGTCCACAAATAAAAAAAGTGTTTGTACTTTTGACCAGACATATTTTTTCTTACGTATTTTTCAACGCTAAATCCGAATTTGCAATAAAAAAATAGCCTTTGCCCGCATATTTTGAGGTTTATAATGAAACACCTCATTTTTTGAGATTTTTTGGAAGTTTTTCGAAATTACAAATAAAAAGAGTGCAAATAAAATTATTTGGACTACAGAATTGAACTCTACGGGAAAAAATATATCAAAACTATGTCTTGAATATATTTTGAACTATTTTTCAACCCCCCATACTGAGTTGAAACTACTAAAAAACGAAAAAAACCGATATAAATTTGATTCGAAATCGATTGAAATTTGATTTTGTCAGTTCAAAACAATCAGCAAGCATTATAAATATGGTATATTAGATGTTTTTGAGGTTGCTGATCATATTAATTTAACGCTAAACCTACCAGAGCGGTCAAATGACCGCTTCTAAAGTCCAAAAAATAAATGATTTTTAATTATTATATAATAATTATTTTATGTATACTGTTTATGCTGAATTCTATATTAATTACAATCAACTAGAGAAGACTATAATTATTTATTTCAAAAGTGGTCATTTGACCGTAATTTGGTAGAAATAGTAAAATGTTGTTCCCGCAACATCATCGTCTTGAAAAATGTCTTGGAAATCAGTCAGAAGTTGAGCAAATTTCTTCTTTTGTGAAGAATCTAAATTACTAATGTTATTTTTGAAGAGTTCTAGCAAGAAATCTGGTACTTCTTTAACATATTCTGTCATTCTACAACATTCTGCGGCAGCATCACTGACAACCATACCTGTAGTACTCTTAAAAATGTCACTTATTGATTCTGTAATTCTGGTCTTATTCAAAAAATCACACCCAAGTATACAGTCGTCAGTAATGTCTGCAACAAAAACTGTCATCAAGATTGAATATTGACCCAAATTAACGCGGACAATTGTTTTGAATTGGATAGGAACTTCTTCACCAGTGGGATACCTCACACTCGGACCATCATAGAAAATTTTATGATAATGAGGATCAACAAATCGAAGATTGACGATCGTCACGTCTGAACCTGTATCTAATTTAAAAACGCATAACTGTCTGTCTATACTACCCTCAAACTGAAAAGTCTTCAAATTTCCAAGAACTCTACGAACGCGCATATTCGACAAATCAGGTCCAGCAACATTATTGTAAGGAGCTTGTTCACTAAATCTCAAACCCGCTTCTGAAAGTTCGACACACCCTAGTTTCCCTGCTCCGGGCATCGAGAGCGTGTATGTCCTTTTTTATGACAATGATAGCATTCAATATTCTTCAACCATTCTCGAGGATCGAATGGTTGACTCTGTTTGCCATTATCTATACTATTTGCTTCATTTTGAAATTTATCTTCTGAAGAACTTGAGTTATTCTGGAAATTTCGCGCATTTCGAAAGACGGGAATCTTGTTTCTTTCTTTGATCGATTTCACTTCTAGAGCACGAGCTAAAGCTATTTTCAAAGAAGAACGTTCCATTTTCCCCCCGTTTACCGACGGTAAGAAAGTTGGTGGATAGTACCTACTGGGGTCTACAGGGGGCTGTTACTCAAGTCAAGTGCCCCCTTCCCCGGGGACTTCCGGGCTAGAGAGAGCTTTTGTTTTATGTCCGTTCTCCGACAGCAACGATAAGAACTTGCGACTTATTTTCAATTGTTTAGCATCATTTAATAAAGAAATAAAATCATCTAAGTAGTTCGTTATGTGTCCAGTTAATTACCTTCAAATACAATATTTATACGCCACCTTACTTGAAATCTACGTTCAAATTCTTTTAAGTCTTGGTGAAACCTTTCACCTTGCT